CCATGAAAAATCATAAACTGCTCTCTACTTTACTGGCTATACATGAATACTTATGTAAATGTTCACACCTACTTTTTCACGACACTAATATAGTTTTAATACGTACTCTATTTTCCAGATATGTGGAACGTTATGCACTTGTCTTGTTTTAACAGAGTCTGTGGTTCTGTGTTTGTAGCCCTTTCCCTATTTTGATATTAGCATTGGGATTTTAAGATTACATTTGTAAAACTAATATGTTCTTTTTAAATTATGAAGTGTTATAGCCGTTGCTAAACGTGTGAAATAAAGGAGTATTTTCATAGTGCTGCTGTTACACCGAAATTTATGTTGGTGTAGTGAATGGTGACTTTATGGCAAGATGTTTAATTATAGTGCCTTTATGTGGGAGAGTAATGTCTTTCATATGGACAGATCTAAACATTGGTAGCAGTGAATTGTGGGTGATAAATTATGCACTTTGCCATATGTAATCTGTCGTACAATGGTAAATGTTCTGTTTTTACTTTTGTCAAATTTACTTTGACAAATAATTATTATATGGCAGTTCCAAATCTTCTGAAAAAATGTTGCATATTTAAAATACAAACAAAGGAGAACTTAAAATGTTAGATTTCACTTTCACATTTTTTTTTTTAATAATATATGAAATTAAATTTCAAATATATTAGGGTTCACTGACACCACTTCAGCTGAGCTGCATTGATCTGCATAGGCTCAACACCAGAAGATTTATCGAAATGTGTTGAGTCTTCATGTAGACTATATTAGATTTAAATAATTTATTAAACCCTAAATTCGGTATTTTATTGTCTCTTTTGTTGTTTTGGTTCTTATTGAATGTTATAAAAACAAATCATGGATTTTTATACATGCAGTGTTTCCCTTGTATCTAAATGCTCCTCAAAAAAGTCCTTGGCTCTTACTATTGTTGTTTGTAAAGGCTCAACACCAGGGCACATAGAAAACAATTGTTTTCAATGTGCCTTGTTCACACACTATGCTGCCTGGAGGTAAGTTGCATAGCACTGCATAAAAAGGCAGACATGTTACATTTTTACACTATGCACTGCATCTCACCTTTTGCCACTGCCAGTAAGTGGACTGCACTGCAGCTAATCTGGGTGCATAGAAATTAATGAAATGCAATTTTATGACATTTTAATACAATAAAAAATGGTAAAGAGCCCACAACTATTGTAGTGTGTGGATCTGGAGCGAACACTTCTTTAGTGCTTATCTCTAATCAAAAATGAATCTTTTGTTTTGGATGCAGAGGAGTTGGGTTACTGTCTGTGTTCCCTTTAGGCCTTATGCATGCACATGCATATAGGCATAAAACTGTCTGCATCCACAGCATGTGGCTTTATACATTTGTAGGTTTATATGCAGCCACATACAGCCATTATTATGTGTAATTTCAAAGCCATTTTTTCTAATTTTTAAGGACTCTTTAATGGCTGCCATAGTACCACTGGATTGGCATAAGGCCAATGTGGTGCCTATATTTAAAAAGGGGTCAAAGTCTTTACCAAGTAATTATAGACCTGTTAGTTTAACTTCTAATTGGGAAGATACTGGAAAGTTTAATTAAAGGATAAGTTTCACCTTTCATAACATGTTACATGTTACACCCATATTCTGGGTGTAACATGTAACGTTACAATTATACCGGCCCTGCTCCACGCTTTGATAGCTAGTGGGGGGATCTTCCCTCCTCTGCTAGCTGTCAAATTAAAAAAAAGAATATGGCCACATCACTCATTCACAGTCCTTTGTGAATGAGAGACTACAAGTCCCCACAGCCTTAGCGGCTGTCAACTTACAATCCTCAATGAACTACGACAGCGCTCTGGAGCACTGTGGTAGTTCATTCATTCTCCCTATCAGTATATCTGCCTGCTTGTACATCTTGTACGGGCAAACAGATATACTGACATCTGCATAAGACCTGCATGGCACCAGCGATCTGTTGATCACTGGTGCAATGCTTTACAGGCTCCTCCAGACACAAATAATAAATGCACATTTTTTTAACTGCAAAAAAAATGTGCATCTATTATTTTTTACTTAAAAGGTGAACTTATCCTTTAAAGACCACATAGATGAGTTCTTTCTCTGGAAAACAAAATTTTAAGCAACAGACAAAAGTTTTCAAACAGATCTGCTTTCTCTTTATGAGGAGGTGAGCAAAACATTGGATAGAGTGGTGGCGGTGGACACGGTATACTTGGATTTTGCAAAAGCATTTGACACAGTGCCCCACACACGGCTAATGTGTAAGGTAAAGTCTACGGGCTTGGAAAAATCTGTATGTAAATGGATAGAAAACTGGCTAAAAGATCATATTCAGAGAGTAGTGGTTAATGATTCATACTTTGAATGGTCTAGAGTTGTCAGTGGTGTACCCCAAGGTTCAGTGTTGGGACCCTTACTTTTTAATATATTTACTGATGATATAGGGTCTGGGTCTATAAATGCCATTTCAGTCTTTGCAGATGACACCAAGCTATGCAGTAGAATAAAGTCCTTACAGGACGTCTCCAATTTACGAGCCAACCTCAATGGACTGTTTAATTGGGCAACTATATGGCAAATGAGGTTTAATGTTGCCAAATGCAAAGTTATGCACTTGGGGGCTAAGAATATGCATTCATCATACATACTAGGGGGGGTACAACTGGGGGAATCAATGGTGGAGAAGGATCTGGTAGATCATACTCTTAATAATAGCATGCAATGCCAAGCTGCGGATTCCAAAGCGAGCCTTGTTTATATTAAGAGAGGTACCCCTGTACAAATCATTAGTAATACCTCATTTGGAATATGCAGTTCAGTTTTGGGCACCAAATCACAAAAGAACATTGGGGAATTGGAGAAAGTACAGAGAAGGGCAACCAAACTGATAAGAGGTATGGAGGAGCTCAGTGATGAGGAAAGATTAGAGAAACTGAATTAATTGTCTTTTGAGAAGAGGAAATAAAGGGAGGATATGATCCACATGTTTAAATACATAGGTGGTCCATATAGTGAACTCGGTAAAGAGTTCTTCACTTCAAGGTCTTCACAGAGGACAAGGGGGTACTCTTTATGTCTGGAGGAAAATAGACTGATCTCCAAATACAGAAAGGCTTTTTCGCTGTAAGAGCTGTGGAAATGTGGAACAGACTCCTTCAAGAGCTGGTTCTGGCCAGCTCAGTAGTTTGCTTTAACAAAAGGCATGATATCTTTCATAAATGTACATAATGTAACTGGATGCTAATTTTTATAGGTAAAGTTGATCTAGGGAATACCTGATAGCCTCCGGGGGAAACAGAAAGGAATTTGGATGAAAATTGGATGGGCTTTTTCAGCCTTCCTCTGGATCAACTGTGGGTATAGGATTTTATATGTAAGATTGTATAATCTATTGATTGATTGACTTATTTCATTGGTTGAACTAAATTGACTTTTTTTTTTTTTTTTAAACTAAACTAAACTAACTATGTAACTATGTGTAGTTAAACTTTAGGATGCCAGATACATTTAGTTTAGCTCTTCTCTAGTCATTGGAATAGTGGTCGATTACTTTAGTCTGCTTAGTGTTTACAAGGCTGCTAGTTTGATTATTTCCCCCTGCATTCTAGAGGGTTCTAGAATGACAGTGGGAGGAAAGACAGAAAGGCAGCTTGAATATTTATGGGGATCCAGGCAATACCTGGGGACGTTTGTCCAGTAGGTGGCTGGAGAGCCCATAAATAGTCTGAGGCCAAGAGCAGGCTGCTGGAAATGATGATTAAAGGCCATTGAGGATCCAGCTGTAGCTTATGGAGCCTATTCCCAAAGTCAGGTCTGGGATTTTTCTTTTGTCTGGAGAGCTCACTGAAAAGTACCTGGTGAAATTTGGGGAAGAGTGTCCAGCTGCCCGCCGGTATTGTAAAATGCTCTCTTTCATTATTTTGCAGATCAAAGGGATGAACTTTCATCTACATATGGTGTCAGTAAAACAACCTTACAAGTAAAATATATGTACATTGCAGGTATTTTACAAACTTTGTGACAGATTCCTACCTTTTGTTGCTCTGAAGTAATAGCTTTTTGTTTCACCAGACTGATCACAAACTCACTTTGAATGGATGTGACTGGTTCATTATAATCAGCTGATACCTTTCCTGTGCTCTAATGGGGAAAACAGCAGTGTCTGCATCTCTTTAGACATGATTAATCCTTGAAGAGTATCTCACCAAAACTTGCTGTACATTTCTATTACAGAAGGTGCCAAAAATTTGACTTCCATCTTAATGTAGACTTCTGGGAAAATCAATGAACCAAACACACAAGCAGGAAATTAAATTTTTTGGAGACATTCTGTACACCTCCAGGTTGTCATATTGCATCGAATATTACAGAAAATTACAGAGCTACAGATTAAACTGGTTCTATAGTCACCTGTGTAAAAATTAAAAGTCAGCAGACACTCACCTGTCCTAGCGCTGTCCTCACCTGGATTGGTTTATTCACCAATCCTTCAGTCTTTAGTCCCCAGCACCAGCATCTTAACTGTGGGCAGTTGGTTGTGACTGCTTGCAGCTTCGCAGCCAACTGCCCACTGCACATACATGAGTAATGTGCCCCAGAGGACTGCGGACAGGTAAAGAGAACTTGCACTCACATCGCCTAGGTGATCCGAGCAGAAGTGGGAGCGGGCACACCAAGTGTGTGCGTTGTGCTGTTGACGGAAAATGAGTGACAGAAATCTGGAGCAGATTAACATCAAGTTTTGTATGAAAATTGGCAAAAGTGCGAGTGAAACTTTAGCTCTGTTACAGTAGGCTTGTAGTGAACATTCCAAGAAGAAATCAAGTGTTATTGAATGGCATAGGTGATTTAACTGCTTCCTGCCATATAGTACAATGATGGGCACAAGGTAATTCTCTCGTTCTGGGACGACGTCATATGACGTCCTCCCATTCTAGCCTCGCATGCGGGGCTCCGGGAGGGCGCAGCGAGTCGATTGGCGGTGTGCTGTGTCCCTCGGACACAGCAGATCACCGATCAACAGAAAGAGCCAAAGATGTCGGCTCGGTCATGTGATCAGCTGTGTCCAATCATAGCTGATCACATGTAAACAGGGAAATGCCAGTTATCAGTTATCGGCATTTCTCTCCTAATGAGCTGTCACGCTGACAGCTCGAGAGCAGAGCAGAGCCGGTAATCGGCATTCCTTGGAGGGGACATCTACACAGATCATCATAGCACTGATGATCAGTGTGCCCTGATGATCTGTGTAGCCCCAGCAGTGCCACCTGTCAGTGTCCATCAGTGCCAGCTGTCAGTGCTCATCCATGCCACCTGCCAGTGCCCATCAGTGACACATCAGTGCCACATTTCAGTGCCTACCAGTGCACATCAATGCCACATATCAGTGCCCATCTGAGCTGCCTTTCAGTGTCAACCATCAGTGCCAGTCAGTGCCGCCTATCAGTGTGCATCAGTGACCATCAGTGCTGCCTATCAGTGCCGCCTAACAGTGCCAGTCAGTGCCACCTAACAGTGCCAGTCAGTGCCGCTTATCAGTGCCAGTCAGTGCCGCCTATCAGTGCTGGCTATCAGTGCCATATATGAGTGCTGCCTTTCAGTGCCCATCAGTGATGCCTGTCAATGTCCATCAGTGCCACCTACCAGTGCCTCCTCATCAGTGCCCATCAGTGCCACCAATCAGTGTCCATCAGTGCAGCCTATCAGTGCCCACCACTACAGCCTCATTAGCGCACATCAGTGAAGGAGAAAAATCACTTATTTACAAACTTGTATAACAAAAACTAAGAAAAAACTTTTCAAAAAAATTTTCAGTGGTTTTTGGTTTGTTTAAGAAAAAATAAAAAACCCAGAGGTGATTAAATACCACCAAAATAAAGCTCTATCTGTCACAAAAAAATGATAAAAATTTCATATGGGTACATTGTTGCCCATATGAATTGTGACAGTGTTGAAAGCTGGAAATTGGCCTGGGCAGGAAGGGGGTATAAGTGCCCTGTAGGCTAGTGGTTAAGGAGGGGCAGGAAGATGTCCACAATGATGTAAGATGTGGGCAGCCAAAAACGCAAAGAATGAATGCAAATGTGGAAAGAGTGTGAACCCTCATATGCTTAGATCAAAGATTGAGTGTGTAAATGATGGCAGAAGAATTGAACATGAACAGGGAAACAGTGTGGCAGAATCTAATAGAGAATTTGGTAATGAGAAAGATCTCTGCAAAGGTGGTGCCTCGATTCTTGACAGAAGATCAGAAAGAACGTTGTCTTCAAAATTCATCCAATCTTTTGAAGAATGCAGAGCTGTTAGATAGGGTTATTATTGATCAATTCTGAGAATTAAATTGTCACACCTCGTATATATACAGTGGGTATAGAAAAGCATCACCCCCCTTTAAAATAATCACAATTTGTTGCTTTCCAACCTGAAAAGAAGACAGACATAGTTTTTTTGTTTTATTCAGCTGTATTTACTTAGTGCAGCTTATAATATCCAAGTGAAAGATATAACACCAACATGTCAGAAAAAAAAATAAAAAAAATTTCAAAAACAGAATCACTAAAAATGACTTGTACACTCAATCAGGTGTAGCTAATCACCTTGTCATTGAAACACAAAGCCATTTGACTTTCAACTGTGATCAGCTGTGGTCAATTTGATTAGCTCAGCATGAAAAGAGCTTTCCTGGAGTATTTCAGTCCCTGATAGTGAAGCCAAAAATCATATATGGGTGGCAACTCACTGTCAAAAGATCTCTGCAATAAAGTTGTGGACAGGCACAAGTCAAGAAATGGATACAAAAAAATTTCAAAGGCTTTATTAATTCCTAGAAGCACAGTGACATCTGTTATTAACAATTGGAAGGTGTTTGATACAACACAGACCCTCCCTGGATCAGGATGTTGCTCCAAACTGGATGAAAAAAGCCAGGAGGAAGCTGGTCAAAGAGGCTACAGAGAAGCCTACAGCAACTGTGAAGCAGTTGTGGGAATTTACTACAAAGAGTGGTCATTGTTTGCCTTTGACAATGACAATATCACAAATTCTCCACAAATGTGGCTTGTATTGGAGGATTGCAAGAAAAAAGCTACTCCTGAAGAAAGGCCACATGCAATCATGACTGAACTTTGCCAAAACGCATCTTAAAAATTCTGAGGCCACATGGAAAAAGGTGTTATGGTCAAAGGAGACTAAAATTGAATGATCTGGTCTCAGCACTAAACGATATGTCTGGCAGAAATCGAATACAGCATGCCATCCAAATAACACCAGTCCTACAGTAAAGCATGGAGATGGTGATATCCTGTTATGGGGGTGTTTTGCTGCAGCCGGGACAGGAGCACTTGTCAGGATAGAGGGAAGAATGGATGGGGCAAAATACCATGACATTCTGGAGGAAAATCTGCCGCCCTCTGCCAGAAAATTATCAATGGGAAGAAGGCTTACCTTTCATCATGACAATGACCCAAAGCACACAGCAAAAATGACCAAACTGGTTGAAGGAAAAAAAGGTGAATGTTGTTGCATGGCCCAGTCAGAGCCAAGATGTAAACCGCATTGAAAATGTGTAGAATGACTTGAAGACTGCAGTCCACAAACAGTCACCATCGAATTTACCTGAACTTGACCAGTTTCTGCAAAGAAGAGTGGGCAAATATTGCACAGTCCAGATGTGCAAAGTTAGTAGAGACATATCCCAACAGACTAAAGGCTGGAATTAAAGCAAAAGGTAGTTCAACAAAATACTGACACAAGTGGGTGATCCTTTTTCCCACTCGGTGATTCTGATTTTGAATTTTGCACTTATGTTTCTGACATGTTGGTGTTATATCTTTCACTTGAATGTTATATGTTGTAATTGAGTAAATACAGTTGGATAAAACAAAAACTGTGTTTGTCTTAATTTCAGGCTGCAAAGCAACAAAATGTGATTATTTTAAAGGAGGGTGATTCTTTTCTATACCTACTGTATTTGGAATGACATACACTTTATGTTAAAGGGGGAAAATTCCCTATTTTTAAAATAATATCATATCCCACCTTCCATAGCTCCCAGCTTTTCTCAGGATGTTTAGCTAAACTTTCATCATTCAGTTGTAGTATCACCTGCTGTTTAAGTCTGGCAGAGCATGGACTTGTGTATTTTCCTGGTTGGACTTCAGTCCAACAAGGTACATATGAAATAGCAGTACATGACCCAGATCATGTTTGCAATTGGGCTGTTGGTTATCACATTCATGCAAAAACAGCTTTTAAAGGAAGGAAGAAGACATGAAAATACATTTCATAGCCAAATGTGTTAAAAGGAGTGCTGAAGCAATCTGTTTTTATAGGAATAATAAACACTATGGGTTTTGACCTACCTGATTTTATGTGTGTATTTGAGATATTGTAGGTTGGAAGTTGGCTTGTTGTCAGCCCTCCTCTGTGGAGCCATTAAGCAGTCATAACACAACAATGCACAATACAATGTCATTAATGTTTCCTGGAGAGCAAGTGATTACAGTGTGGGTGTGTTACAGGTGTTCTATGTATTGAATGAAATTCGGAAGTGTTTTCTGAACAGTTTCTGAACCTACATAAGCTAAGTTGCTATTGTGTTGACCTGCTGAGAATTCAAGCTTCTTTGTTTAGTCAACAGATGATTTGGATGAAAGCCCAGGCCCTACACAAGTTCCATCTCCCTCATTCTTGGCACTGCTGGGAGACTCAAGTGGACCAAATTCAAAGCAGAGTGAGCAGGATGTAGACTTTACCAGTCATCCTTTGATGTTTGCTTGTTCAGCATCATAATAACATATATAAAAACATACCACACATGAAACATCTGAAGCATTTTTGGGTATTCTAAGATTTGAAGATATTCACTGTTAATTCTTGTTGTCTGTCATATTTGTTTAGACTGGAGATGATGTCCTAATGTGTCATCCTCTTTAATCATGCCATTATTTTATCCTGTAATTAAATTTAGTTTATTCATGTTGGATGTGCAGTAATTTACATTTTTTTAGAACAGAGCACGCTTAGTTTTTAAAAAAAATAATTTTTTGGACAGCTTGGTCCACGTGAAAATGTGAAGAAGAATGTAAAAAAGTAAGTAAATATGGTATTCCTATATTAAATACTACTATTAAAGGTAATAACCCTATACAGTTACAAGAACACAATATTTTTCATGCTGGAAAGGAGCAACTGTGTGGTAACACACTTTCTGTAGGATAAACTTAGTTGTCATACTGAACAGTCCATTAAGCCAGGCTGCCACTGTTGCCCTGTCAAAGAGAGTTGTCATCCCCTCAGCAGTGACTCTCAGTTTGGTCAGATATAACATTGTATATTGCAACCTGAGACGTTGTGAACATTTGATGACATCTCTCAAATTTTGCTTGGCTCCATTGCAATTTGGTAGAAAATACATTTTTGCACCTTCATACTCATTGTACTCCTTTAGCAGAATGTGCAATGAGACTTTTATCTTTGTAGTTTAACATCTTTGCAATAATTGATCATGGCAGGTTACCAAGAAGCAGAGGTCTCTTTTGGGTTCTATGCACGCTTTCCACTGGGGAAAAGTTATGTGAAGACATCCTTCCCAAATGCGGTTAAGAGCCTGTGCTCCATAAACTCCAAAGGGTTGTTGCCCCTTCCACCTGCTTCGGCATACTAACGATATGAATATTATTGCACCTCATTCAGCTTTCAAGATCTTCTTTCTGAAGGGGAAGTAGCTTTGGCAAGCTGTAGAGTGGAGGCTGCATCCTGCACCACAAGTTCCAGCCTGTCCTCCACTCTGCCCTACTGTGATCTCCTGGATCTTTTGAGATATCTTAAGAATGCCACTGCCTCATCTATTTCCCTAATTTAATCTGAGCTGATTCACAGATGTTTTGCATTTCGTAATGGCAGAAAGTATATCTTTCAATATGGGCCCAGCATCAGAGCTTGGAGGATCAGCATTAGCCTGTGTAAGGAGAACACTGTTGCTGCGGCTTTAGGGAAGGGTACCCACTGCATCCCCTTGTAGTTGCTCGAGCTGGTTTCTTAGGAGGCAGTTAGTACAACCTGGCAGGGTATGTCACTTGCAAACATATGTGTGAAACTCTCAAGCCAAGATACCACTTCTTTCACTTGGAATATTCTGGCCTACTATGGCCATGTTCCTGAAGAAGCACCATCTTCCTGCCCCACTGCCACAGCTGCCATCTCCTCTCATCTTTTACAGGTCATGATGCGAGCAGATTAGAACCACAACAGGAGCATTGTGTCTGGGATATGTTGCCCCAAGTGTTAGGCAGGTTGAAAAATAACCACTGTGGGAAGGATAGGTTCATAATGGTCCACTGTATGTCTTTGAGGCATCTCCATTCACATGTCCAGCGTAGCCATGCTCTCTGAACACAACATTTTTCACTATCCTCTAATGTTAAAAAAAAATCTAACAGAATGTAAATTAAGTTAGAAC